GGCGCTGTCGGAGACATTAAACGTCATTACGCCAAACAGTTGATCAATTTACAGTATTTTCCAATCGTAGTACAATTTATTGTAGAATAACCAATTAATAGTTTCCCGCATTTTATATTGTTGTTCGACAATGTTTTTTTTCTTTGCCCCGAAATGCAACACAAGTCTTCAAATGGAAGATGCTCTTGTTATCGCTTTCCTACTGATGTATCCCAGCGGAGACTCTGGGTTCGCACCATAAGGTAAACTCATATTACGATTATTCCATGTAAACACCACATTTACCGGCTTAGTCCCGGAAACTTTAAAACTTTAACGATGCATAGTGCTTAAAGCCACGTTAAAATTAAATGTTTATGGCCACATGAAGCTGTTATGATTTTCTTGTAGCCACCCTAACAAAATGATAGCTCAAATAAGTTTAATCTTACCATATCCAAAAACTCGCTCACTCTGCTGTTATTTAATAGATTAAATGCACTAGAATTTTATTAAATAGTAGGTGGAGACTCATTTTTAATTAAAATATTCATATTAATCAAGGATTTATTGACTTTTAATGCACCTTATTTCAAAATACGTGCTTTCATATGTCCTTTAGTTATGATTATTTCATTTATTCACTATACTATTTATTACTAATGTCTCATTTCAGTTTTAGTTTGGCTCTAGTTTTGTATTTATTCCAGTTTATATGAAAAGGTTCATGTAGCATGGATTAAAATTCATATACAGAGTCAATCATTTTCACTGAACGTGTTAAAAATAAGTTTGAAAAAGTTGTCGGGAGCAGGTGGTGGTGACGTTGAAGGCAAGCGACCGTGATGCTGTAGTTCGTTTATAGCCTAAGTTTAGCTTTTAAGTTCTGGCACTTTTATTTAGGCTTCACAATTCATAAAAGTTATGTTATTTTGTGAAGATTATCTTGATGGACAAAACGTGTAAGTTTCATGAACTATGGTTGAACACCGAGCTTATTTTTTGTGATAATCCAAAAGCCTATGGAAAAAGCCTATTGGCTTTTTGTTGAGGGAACCAGTGATGCTAACAGCCAATCCGCCTACAAAGTGACGTCATAGTTCCCCCACTCGCAATTGAAAATACAATTTGCAATTCCTTTTGAAAATTGTCCGGAATATCGTTCCATACTGTTGGCCTACTTTTAATAAAATGAAAGTAAAATACACAAATAACATTTAGACTGTTTCTGATTAAATAAAGCAGTAATTGATGTCATAAAATCATGAGTATGTTTTGATTTAAAGGTCAGAAGCTATAGCTTACATGTATAAAAAAAATCACAAACATGACTCTTGTAAATTAAATAATTTTATATATACTGATTTATTCATTAATGTGTAATATGTTTTATTTTTTATACAAATCATAAGCTCTAAAAGATTTTCTTTAGACCATTTTCTTTTGCTTTAGACCATCTACAAATGTTAAATCTATCTGTCATAGGATGCCCATTTTTCACAAGTTGATATGATTCTTTAGGGTCTTAATGAAAAGTCTGTAACATAGTTTGGTTAAAATTTCT